AACTTGGGCTGGAAGTGTTCCTTTAACAATTTCTTTAAGTCTGTGTAGGTAACAGATTTGAGAGGTGCAGGTGCTGCTAGGTTTTCAGCGATCTCAAATGCATCTTGACCGCAAACGCACAGCAGGGTGGCGGCTTTTAAGCTATCTTCTCTCACTTGATTGACCTTAAGATAGTTTTCTACTCTGGCCACGTAAGACTCCCATCTTTCCGGATGCGTGACATCGAATTCGGAAAGTCTACCTACTTTTGCCATCTTTCAGTCGTACAAGAAGGGTCTATCAGCCAGCTTACCCCCAATGCTTGCTGAATTGGCAGGCAGTTGCTGAGTTTAATGCCGTTTCCTGCTGCTCAGGACTCCGGGGTACACTTACAACTTGTCTGCAATCGTTGTAAGGCATCCCACCTTCGTCGCCAGTGTTGAGTCCTCAGCAAATGGCAAATAACGCATGAAGCAGTTGGTAGTTCTCAGGAGCCTCTTTATTGGTATACAGCATGCTGGTTACAACGCCGACAACGCCCAAGTTCCTCTACTCCTTTTAAAGGCGATCCCTGGGCCAAATGGCAACATTTGGCGCGCTTGCACTTCGCGCATGCGCGCGAGTGCTGGCGACAGCCAGTCTGGTCCCGGGCAGCTTGCAACTGCCCGGGACCGTTGCAACGTCCCGAGCCTGCCTTCATAGGCTCAGGACACAACAAATATTATATACAATAAAACTATTTCTACTTATCTGAGCTATTTAAGCTTCAACCCATCCTCCACCCCCACCTCTCCCCCCACCCCCTCCCACCCACAACTTCCCAGAACCAAATACAGGGTTATACAAACATATTAAACATAATCTATTTAAGTTTACTAATTATACAATGACCAAAATCATACTAACCCTTAACTCTCTTCAAACTTTAACATCATAAGTTTATAAACAAATCCATTACTCATAAAATAAATGAAACTTTGTAGTTCCATATTTCTTCTGAACATATTCTATCCATCTTCTCCATACAATAACATATCTCTCTTGTGAATGGTCCTTTAAATAAGCAGAAATTTTAGCCATTTCTGCTAAATTAGAAGCCTTAAATACCCGTTCTTCTAAAGAAGGCAGAGAGTCCTTCTTCCAATATTGACCCACCTATAATCTTGCTGCTGTTATTAAATTCAACATTAAGATAGTTTCTTTAGCATCAAAATCCACAAAAATAACCAAAAGAAATATCTGGGGAGTAAACTTAATCTTCCTTTTAAAAACCTTTTGAATGTTCCACCAAATCACAATCCAAAAGGCTTTAATATTTTTACAAGTCCACCAAACATGAAAATAGGTTGCATCCAAGCAACCACATCTCCAACATTTAGGTTGCAGGTTCGGGTACATACAAGACAACTTTTTAGGATCCAGATGCAATCTATAAAACATTTTATAAAAATTTTCCCTCAAATTTTGAGCCTGCGTAAATTTAACATTTCTAATCCAAATTACCTCCCATAAATCCAATGAAATCGGTTCCTGAATCTTCTGGGCCCATTTAATCATACAATCTTTTACTAACTCTGTTTCCGAATCCAATTTTATTAACTCATTGTAAATTCTTTTAATATGAGCATATTTCTGATCTTTAATCTGAATTACCAGATTTTCATCTACTAAAGTAATTCCCACTTTCTTATCTAAGGTCCACCTCTCCACTATTTACAAATATTGAAACCGTGATTGTAAAATATTTTCTTGCCTTAGCACATCTGAAGACTTTAGTTGCCAATCAGTACCCGACCAAATAAGTAACTCTTTATACGAAATATTATCAAAATTCACCACCTTAGAAACCCCCTGAATTGCTTGTCCAGGAATCCCCCAAATAGGTATTTTATAATTTAACTTATAATAATATTTCTTCCAAACTCAAAGTAAAGCATTTCTTAAAATGTGTGACTTAAAAACCCAATCTACTTTCTTATCAAAAATTAAAAATGCATGCCAACCATATAATAAATCCCAACCTTCGAGAGCAAGAATATTTTTATTTGTTAAATTAAGCCAGTCACTTACTAAAGTTAAAGTGGCCGCATCATAATATAATTTCAAATTAGGTGCTGTAAGTCCACCTTTTTCTCGAGCGTCTTGTAAGATCTTAAACTTAACCCTTGATTTCTTCCCACCCCAGATAAATTTATTGATACCCTTCTGCCACTCATCCAAATTAGCTTCCTTTTTTAAAATAGGTATCATCTGAAACAAAAAAAGAAACTTTGGTAGAACATTCATCTTTACTACTGAAATTCTCCCCAGTAACGATAGCATTTTACAACCTTTCTTGTCACAGCTGTTTAGTGAATCAGTGCAAGTGTTAAGTTATTACACGGTTGTTAAGTGAATCTGGCTTCCCCATTGACTTTGCTTGTCAGAAGATCACGAAAGGGTGATCAAATGATCCCGGGACACTGCATCGGTCATAAATACAGGCCAGTTGCCAAACTTCTGAATTTTGATCACACACCCACGGGGACACTACAACAATCATAAGTGTGAAACCTGGTCAGAAGTCACTTTTTTCAGTGATGTAACTTTGAACAGTCACTAAATGAATGATTATAAGTCAAGGACTACCTGTCCATGAACACATATCTTAAGGTTCAAATCTTACATCTTTTTCCTGCCTCTGTCTCCCAATGGGCTGAGAGTGGATCAGTTGTCAGAAAAAAGGCAGCTGATAATGTTCATATGTTATTATGAAATGCATCTCTCTCTCTCTCTCTCCATATATATATATATGTTTTCTGAGGTTTTCACGGGTGTTTGTATGTAGGTCTTTGGTTGTTCGGGTTTTCTCCCGCGTAAAATTGGAAGTGTCTTGGTGACGTTTCAACGAAGTCCCATTCGTCATCTTCAGGCTGGTGTTTTCAGCTTCATGCTTCGAGCAGCTCAAAGCACGAAGCTGAAAATACCAGCCTGAAGATGACGAATGGGACTTCGTCGAAACGTCACCAAGACACTTCCAATTTTACGCGGGAGAAAATCCGAACAACCAAAGACCTACATATATATATATATATATATATATATATATATATATATGTATGTATGTATGTGTGTGTGTGTGTGTGTGTGTGTGTGTGTGTATGTATATTATAAAATTTGGATTGCTAACAAAGAATTAAGGGAGAATGGGATAACTATTTCGAGTTTCTTAACTCTCTTCAGCCAGACTTACCCTTCTGAGATTCGAGCCTGGGCTGTGTGCATGTTAGGCAGCTGTATTAACCTCTAGGCCACAGGCTCTTTCTCACTTTGTCAGCTGTATCAGGGAGGGAAGAGACAGGGGGAGGAGATTTACCTTGAGTGTTTCTTGATGCACCCTGTCGGCCCAAATATGGGAGAAAGAAATCTTCTTTCTTTTTCTTATATATTCAGATTGCTTTATGCTGACAAAGAGTTAAAGAATTAAGTGGGAGACTAGTATAGCTATTTCAGGCTCCCACTTAATTCTTTAACTCTTTGTCAGCAAAAAGAAATCCGAATTTGTAATGTATCGAAGTAGCGACTTGAGCCTGCTTAACGCCCCTAGTTGGGGGGCTGCAAGGCAAAAGTGATTATAAAAAGTAGAACTGCAGTATAGCAGTCAAAAATGCCAAAATACAATCAATCAGACCGGTCTGTCTGAAAAACTCTCCCCCCCCCTCTCTCTCTCTTTCACACGCTGGAGACAAAAGTACAAGTTTTGTCTGATAACTACCCCATAGATACTAAATCTTCCTGGCATGTGTCCTTAGATCGCTCCATTACAGCTTCAAGATGTGTTGATATAAAAGTTCCATCATTCCAACCAAGATGGAGGTGCTGTGGGGAGAGAACGGGGCTGGTAATTCCAAAATACCAGGACTTACCAGGCCATTAAATACTTGTCATAGCTTGACTTTAAGTCTCAGATTAAAAGGTTCATCTTTCTGCTGGTTAATCTCTTTCCAGAGAGGCAAAAACCCCTGCTAATGGGAAAGAGAATTTCTCCCAGCTTTACAGAGAGCTTCCTAGCCGAAAGATAAAGAAATCTTTGCTTTGTTTTCGGTTGAGTTGCCAGAAGGTCACCCGCCAAACACTAACACAGTGGTTCTCAACCTTTTTAATGCCATGACCTCCAATCGGTTGTAAGTGGAGGACTACCCAACCGGTCGTAAGTGGAGGACTACCCAACCAGTCGTAAGTCAAGGACTTTCCCTGCCCAGGAGCGCCACGCATGCATGGCATAGCTGGCAAGCGGCAGAGATGGCGCAGGCCGACCACTGACTGGGCCACCAGCTGGCCCAGCCCAAGGGAGGTAAGGCACTTGCCGGGCCCCACGCACGCCAGTAACCCTCCCTGCACCCGCCAGCCTCCCACCTCCCACCCCTGGCCCTCTTTTACTTACATTTTTAGTAGTTGCTCAGCAGGGAGGAGTGGAAATTTCCAGACAGCTCGCCTTCACTGCAGACAACTTGTAGCACCGTTTGCAGAATGGGACTTTTCGCAGGCTCAGCAGGGCAGAGACAGCCTGGACATTTCCTATTGGCTTTTGAAAGCCAATAGAATTAGACTCTATTCAAGAGATTCTATTCTATTGGCTTTCAAAAGCCAATAGAATAAAAGAGAGTAGCACAGCTAAGGAAAAGGGGGAAAAAATGGCGGACTGCGTTGTTTGGCGACCCCCGTGAAATGGTCATTTAACCCCAAATGGGGTCCTGACCCACAGGTTGAGAACCACTGCACTAACACAACTGATTTTAGAGGGCTGCAAAGAACCAAGGAAAAGGGCCCTAAATTTTTGAAAATGTCCTTGATATGGCCTACTTGCTTCATAACATATTGTTGCAGGCCTGATGGTTAGACTCTTCAGAAACAGAATACTTCATGGCTCGGGCAGTAACATCTCGGCTTCTGCAGTTAGAACATAAAATATGCAAATGATGATCTTGCTCCATTTTTTTTAAAGGAGAATGAAATTAAGAGGTGATTATTTGATGCAACAGGTTGGTTCTTACTTTGGGGCAACTCTCTGCCCAGTGGACCTCAATCAAGACACAAGCACAGATTTAGTTCTGGTTGGCGCTCCCATGTACTACGATGCCACTGCAGGTGGAAGGGTTCACATCTGTCTTGTTAAGGTAAGAGACTCCTGCATCTATGAAGCAGAGAATAAATGACGGTGGAAGACGGACAGCTCTAGAGTTTCTATGATTTCCAACATTTGCTCAGAAATTCCCAGGTATTTATTTATTTATGAGACTTATATACCGCTTTAAGTGCAAGCACTCTCTAAGCGGTGTACACCAGTAAGCAATGTATATATATATATATATTTACATTGCCCCCAGCAATCTGGGTCCTCATTTTACCTACCTCGAAAGGATGGAAGGCTGAGTCAACCTTGAGCCGCTTAGATTTGAACCGCTGACCTGCTGAACACAGTCAGCTAAAGTGACCTGCAGTACTGCACTCGGTATATATTGTAAATCAGGTTGAGGAGAAACTTTTGTGTTTATTATAGGTAGTCCTTGCTTTATGACTGGTTGCTTAGTGACTCTTTGGAGTTACTAAGGTTGTTTGTGACCTGGTTCTGAAATTCTGGTCTGCATTAGCAGCCAGTTTGCATTCACAGCATCCTGTGTTCATATGAACGCATTTTACAATGTTTTTGCCAAAAACTTCTGATTTTTGGCAAAACTAGCCCTTAGCGAACAATTGGTTTGCTTGACATCTGTGACAGTTGCTTTACAACAACCATGGCGTTTGCTTAATGACCACTGCAAAAAAAGTCATAAAATCAAGCTGGTGACATGGCTAATCCACTTTTCAACTGTCCTGATTTATGACCGTACTGGGCATAAATCCTCAAAAGGATGGAAGGCTTACAATCCTTTACCATTGTAAGTCGAGGACTACCTATATTTCTTGATATTTTTTGAAGGCTGATTTCCAATACAGTAAACAAATATTTGAAATGAGTGTGACACTTGACATAAAACTGTATATGAAACACTGAGGATCCATTTATGCAGTAAACCCCAAATGGGGGTTATTCTCTCTGGGGAATTCTAGAAATGATGGTTTATGCCAGAGGTCCCCAACCTTTTGGGCACCAGGGACCGGTTCTGTGGAGAGAGGTTTTTCCATGGACTGGAGGGTGTGTGGTTTTGTGTGCTGCCTACATCTCGCAGATGGGGCTTTGCTTGTTTGTGCGGACCGGTTGCTAGTATGCCGCGGCCTGGAACTGGTCCACGGACCGTGGGTTGGGGACCCCTGGTTTATGCAATGAAAGGAAAAGCTAGGGCAGTGATGGCGAACCTTTTAGAGACCAAGTGCCCAAACTGCAACCCCAAACCCACTTATGTATTGTCGGGTGCCGGGTGGGTGTGGCCCATTGTGTAGGTGTGGTCAATTGGGTGGATGTGCCCCATTGGGTGGACATGGCTGCGGTGGTAATGGAAGACTGGTTGGGACTAAAAAGTTCAATCAATCCATTCCAACTTTGCGAGATCTTTTTTTTTCCTGCGAGAAGTTGAAATTGATTGATTGATTGAACTTATTTTTTTTTTTTTTTTGCACATGGCAGTGGAGGCCTTAAAGCGAAAAGGTTTTATAAAACCCAGCTGAAGTCTAGAACTGGGGCGATGGAGTGCGTGCCCAGAGAGAGGGCTCTGTGTGCCACTTGTGGCACGGGTGCCATAGGTTCGCCACCACGGGGCTAGGTGTTCAGAACCTTCACTAAACTACAAGTCCCAGAATTCCTTGGGGATTCCTTGGGGAATTATGGCAGTCCATGATGGAACAAAATTGTATCATAATACAGAGATGTTCAGAGATGTTTAATAAAATATACCGAAGTATAATCTAGAACTTTTGAGAAATTTGTAAAGCCCATATTATGGGGGTTGCCTTCTGAGAAATCCATTTGCATTCCAGTGTGTTTTTCTTACATTTTGCAGAAGGAAGCGTTTTCGTGCACAGACAGCAACACAGCTTTAAAAGGAGAGCCAGGACATTTGTTTGGTCGCTTTGGGGCCAGCATGGCAGAAGTGGGTGACATCACAGGGGACAAATGGACAGATGTAGCCATTGGGGCTCCCTTGGAAGACGAGAATGCAGGAGCCGTGTATATCTTTTCAGGAAAAAGGGCATCCATCAAGCGCAGTTATGTTCAGGTGAGCCGATCCTTAGGACTTGCTTGATCAAATGGCTCTCTTTCTCCTCTGGAAGCAAGACTTGGCGATGCCGTGAAGACATCTAAGAGCGCCTTTGCACAACTCTTCTCAACAATCGCCATCTTTTGTTCACTTCCTCTTTGCAGAACCTCAAAACCACGCCCTTACACACCCTTGCAGTGTTTTCTGAGTTGTCATTAAAAAACAAAAGCATGAACCACAGAGTGGGGCGGTGTCCAGGTGCCTCTTGATCTACTGGGAAAACTCTACCCTGTACCATTTACCCATACCACGATGTAAAAAAGATGTTGAGATTCTAGAAAGAGTACAGAGAAGAGCAACAAAGATGATCAGGGGACTGGAGGCTAAAACATATAAGGAACAGTTGCTGGAATTGGGTATGTCTAGTTTAATGAAGAGAAGGATGAGGGAGACATGATAGCATTGTTCCAGTATCTCAGGGGCTGCCACAAAGAAGAGGGAGTCAACTATTCTCCAAAGCCCCTGAAGGCAGGATAAGAAGCAATGGATGGAAACTAACCAAAGAGGGAAGCTGCCTAGAACTAAGGAGAAACTTCCTGACTGTTAGAACAATTAATCACTTTGAACAGTCACTAAATGAACTATTGCAAGTCAAGACTACCTGTATACACACACACACACACACACACACACACACACACACACACACTTTGAAGTTATGACTGCCCTGAAAAAAGTGACTTATGACTTGTCCTCATACTTATGACTGTCACAGCATTCCCACGGGCAACTGGCAACTGGCTTGTATTTACAACTGTTGCAGCATCCGTGTTGTGTAATAGCCATTTGTGACCCTCATCTTTTTCCTTGCTTACCTTCCTTGATCTTTCCACAGCGCATTGCGGGACTGAAGTTTTCTGGACAGTTTTCTTATTTTGGCCAAGCCCTCAGTGGAGGAAGAGATCTTACGGGAGACGGTCTGAAGGACATCACTGTGGGACAACAAGGAAGAGTTTTGCTGATGAGGTAAGGAAGGAAGACAGCCCCATTTTTCTCCCAGTTCTTCCGCCTTCTTAAATGTGCGCAATCAGGCCCAGGCTCTCTTCTCTAGAGAAGATTATATTAAGGCATGATTATATTTATATATATATATTACTGTTTGCATTTCTTGACTACAAAACATAGAGACTCGGGATTCCTCCAGTTCCTCCTGTACCTGTAGTGGATTTGATTCAACTCATAATCTGTTGGGTTGGTGAATGAGCTGAGCTGCCACATTGGAGAAAATGTTATCATAAACATAAGGGGTCTACAAGTTAGGCAGTTTCCCATTGGCAGGACCCCCCCCACTTATCCTGTCTTCTGGTTCCATGGGCTCGGACACTTCTGCAGAAGTTGAAGGCCCTCTGCTTTTGAAACTAGCAAATCTATTATGGTGGTTTTCTCACCAACCCAGCAAAACAACAGTGAAACTGGAGGAGGGGGGAGGACATTGGCTTAAAGCCAGTTTTTGAAACCTGGCATTGCTCTTGGAGGGTGCATGGTTTGACCCAGTGGAAGAAGTGAGGATAATAAGATTGACACCAATGAGGTCACTTGCTACATGGTAAAAAAAATTCTCCTCAGAGATTGGGGAGTGAAGCCATGGCCGTGTAATGCACCCTCAGTTTATATCAGTGTTTTAAGAAGTCTGGACTTCAACTCCCAGAATTCTCCAACTGAAAGGAAAACAGCCAGACTGGGGAATTCTGGAAATTGAAGTCTCAATATCTTAAAGTCGCCAAAGTTGAGAAACATCGGCTTAGATGTTTTCTGCTAGCTTATGTTCGATGCTGATTCCTGATTACACAGTATCTTAATGAAAATAATCTTTCCTTTTCTTCTTGCCTCCAGGTCTCGTCCTGTTCTGCAAGTGAAGGTCTCCATCGTGTTCTACCCATCTTCCATCCCAACCTTAGTCTTCCAGGGGCAGAGGCCAACATCTCGGGAAAATGTGGCCAGCGTGGCAGAAGTGTGCTTTACTGTTTCAAAAGTCACTCGGGATTTCCTAGGTGATGGGAAATGCTGCAGTCCTTTGGGGTCCTACAGCAGTCCGCATCCTTCAAACTCATGCAGGGCAGATCCTTGGTTAATTTAAATATGCAAAGAGGTGTGTGATATAGACCTCTTATTGGCCCCCTGCTTCCACCACCATGTTGCTGGTCCATCTTTTCTGGTATTTCTCCGTATTTACTGAGGGAATCTCTCACACGCCTTCTCCTGCAGTGAAGAATTTAACACAGTGTTTCTCGACCTTAGCAATTTGAAGGTGTGTGGACTTTAACTCCCAGATTTCCCCAGCCAGCATGGAATTCTGGGAGTTGAAGTCCATCCATCTTACAGTTGTTAAATTGAAAAAGACTGGCCGAACAGATGTCAGTTGCCACTATGTCTTATTTTAACTTTTCATTTAACGTCTTCATTTTGATATTTTCCTTTCCTTTCCCAGCATAACTCACCTCTCCCTTGTAGATATTGGGTAAAAGTAAAGAAATAATCTGTCACCAATTATACTTAGTTGAATATTTGCAAAATGGCTCTTGTGTCCTCAGATTATTCATTATTATTAGTACATTAGAAGAGAATCTTTGTAGCCCGGGATTGAACTGTGGAGTCCTTGGTAGTCTCTGAGCTTGATTGTTTTCTTGCAGACATGATGAAAACTCCTTAACTGCACAGCACAGGGCCAGACTTCACCTGGGAAAGAGTGAGCATCCTAGACCGATCCAAAAAACATTACAGATTTCCTGGAAACCTCGCATTCAGACAAATCAGCCATCAACAGGCACATAGAGATAAACAACATCTACATACCGTTCAAAAGAGACAACTCAAAAGTTAGAAAAGAAACAAAAAGACCCAAACACCTCCTATCCAGCAATCCACACCCAGATAAGCAGAGGTTAACACCAAGACTAGCACTAGACTAGCAATCAGGCAGTAAACAACACCCCAATCAAGGACCTACCAAGTCAGAACTACCAAGATCATCCCCATCAACACATCTTGTAACTTGTATATAAACAGAGAGCAAGCCCCACTCCCTTTCTAGCATTGATGATGTTACCTAGTTGGGTAATGAAACATTTGCAAGAAAACAACCAAGCTCAGAGAGCACCAAGAGTCCCATGGTTTTATTAAATTCAGATGAAATATTGACACCATCATTTCTCAAGAAAGCCTGTGCAAAAACATGGGGCTGGAACAGATAAAGGAAAGGGAATTACTGCCCTTCCCCTAACAGAGAGAAACCTTTACACTCTGCTGAGAGCAGACGTTTTTCTAAGAACAGCGGTCCACGAGGAAAGATTTGAAGCTCTTCTTTCTTTTCCACTCAGATGAAATCCGTAGTGAGCTTTCCTACCGCCTGACCCTGGATTCTCACAGAATAAAAGCTCGGGCCTCCTTCACTTCTAAGTCTCCCATCCTGCAAGCAAACATTTCGATTGGACTTGAGCGAAAGTGTCAGAAGCATCAGATTGAACTATCTGTGAGTTGGCGTTACGTCCTCTTTCTTTTTACATCGATCACTTGAGATCTGATTGGTCTTGATCGCTCGGCAACCTTAAATACTCAAAGAGCCACTTGGACCCATTTTCCAGAGAAAAGAAAACACTGGGAGCCGCAAAACTTGTGCGTGCATGCAAGTGGAGGGAGCTTGATTAAAGAGTTTAATTAAAAAGAAATAGAGGCTGCTGTGCATGAGTTCTCTCTCTCTCTTTCTCTTTTTCCTCTTTCCTCTCCCTCTCTCTCTTTCTCTCCCTCTCTCTTTCTCTCTCTTTCTTCTCCCTCTCCCCCTCTCTCTCCCCCTCTCCCCCTCTCTCTTTCTCTCCCTCTCTTTCTCCCTCTCTCTTTCTCTCTCTCTCTTTCTCTCCCCCTCCCTCTCTCCGATCTTCTGCTCACCTGGCAAGCTGGCTTCAAGCTGTTCTCCAACAAGCTGACACACATTCTTATTGGGTTGCTCTCTCCTGCCCTTCCTATTTCCTGCTTCCTGCAGAGACGCAGCCAAGGCAGGAGTCCTGCCCAATAAGCTTGTCAGCTCATTGGAGAACAGGGTGAGGCCACTCTTTTTTACACACACAGAGAGAGAGAGAGAGAGAGAGAGAGAGAGAGAGAAGGGAAGTGCAAGTGCCTCTGTCTCTCTCTCTGCAAATGGCAGAGGAGGCTGGGAGCCGCAGGAGCAGCCTCAAAGAGCCGCATGTGGCTCCAGATCCATGGGTTGCCGACACATGGGCCAGGGAGTCAGAGAACTCATCCTCTTGAAGTCTCAAGTTATCTAGCTACCATGGCTACCAAGAGTGAGTTCTTCCCTTCCTTTGCAAATCATAAAACTTGCCTCCATCTGTGACATCTCAAGGCTGAATTTTAATTAACCTCGCTGAAGATTCCTGAAAGACAAATAAATAAATAAATAAATAAATAAATCTGTTGATGCCATATTTCCATAAGGGGCGTGTTTTGTGCCATTCAGTGCATGGAAATCTTGATAAGAAATATAACGTTTTTTTTTCAGTTTCAAGTTTTTTATTGATTTTACAATATTACATTTACATATTTGAAAAGTAGTGTGGCGGCTGAGCACAGTAATTCCGTTACATTTGAATATCATCAGTACAAATCTCAAATTATTACAACAAACTAATTCCCTCTCTTTTCCCCATGATATCTACTGTCATGTTCAAACCAATACAGTTCTTATTCTATTAATCAAACAAAAAATACCTTTCTAGTATTCATCAATAATCTTCAGTCTATACATATCTTAATTAATTTGACATTCCACCTTTTAGACAATAACCTAGTAAGTTTTTCTTAAGTTTAATTTCCCATTGATCTTTAAGTTTAACATTTAATCTTTATCATTTCCAGGTTTTAAATGATCCCAATTTCTAAGTCTCCTATCTCACATTTGGAGCTAATAATTTTTTTCTTTTCTTCTTTCTACTTCCTTCCTTTCTTCCTTTCCAGAAAGAGAAAAAAAATTAAAAATAAACCAATATTTATACCACACACCCATATACAAATTTAATTATTAGTATTTATACTTTTAAGTTTTACTTAAGCTTTGTCTCAACTCATAACAATATCTTAAATTCAAATCTTAATTATTTGTAGATTACAAATAATATTTAATTTTTCCAATTTTTTTAATTAAACACAATTCCTTTATCCCAATTTGCTCATACATTCTAATATTTTAAATACACACCTTATATATAAATTCTACCATCTATCTTATTCATCTAATGACAATATAATATTCTTATTTCAACATATTTCTAGATTTTATATAACCAAAATTTTCTTTATCTCAAATCGTTACCATGTCTTGTGTTCAGAATACATATTCTATCTATTTCGATATATTCTATTTTAGATCTCATATATAGATCAGAACCCCAATCTTTTTCAAACTTATTCTAGCTTTTTTCCTCTTCCAGACCATTTTTCGTATTTTTGCCTTTAAATCATCAAAAAAATCTCCTTGTATTGTTGTGGCTATTGTTTGATGTTGATAAGAACGTCCAGTTGATGTTTTCTTAAGAGGACTAGTTGATTTAGCTGGTAGTCTCTTTATTTTTCCAGTTTGATGCAGTTGTCCCGAAGTATTTATCTTCTCTTTCATCTGTTTTTCTTGTATATCTTCAAATTCCTTCTGGTTTATAAGAAATGTCCTTTCCTTGTTCTCTATTATCAATTTCTTTTTTGTATTTTCTATTATCTGTATTTGTTGAGTATCTAAGTCTTCTGTCATAAAATTTGGTTGATTCACTTTCTTTATAGAATTCTGTATAGATAATTCTTTGATTGAAGTCATAGTTTGAGTTTGTATATCCAGAGCTTGCATACATAGAATTTGGATCATCACTTTTAACATACAAAGAATTTGTTCCTGTACTTCCTCTGTAGAAGAAATCCTTTCCTGTTCTCCTTCCATTATAATATATTAAACTCAAGAAAAAGAAACTGACAGTCAGAAAGTCCACCAAATGGGGAGCTGAGCTGAATTTTGCAGATGGTGTTTCAAGGTTATTTTGTATCTTATCTATTTTCAAAGCTGTCAACAAGTCTCTTAGAGAATAGTAGGTTACATCTTAGAGTTAGTTGGATCTTTTTAGGTTTTTCCCCCCTCTATTTTAAGGGGGGGGAACCCCAAATCTTCAATTGTAATTAGAATAAAAATCAAGGAAGAAATATATATAGAGAGAGCAGAAAGTTGCAAATCTTATAATCCACCAATTTTAGGAAATAGGATTCCAATTAAGATCTCAGTAAACTCCCAAGTGGTTGATAGTTGCTGTTTCTGGAGGGAGGGCTAGAATCCCCCTTCCCTCACCACAGGGGGGAAAGTACTTTAGCAGCTTATGCAGGTAATTAAGTAGTTAGGATGTAAGAGAGGCAAACCTCACCCAGTCCTGTCCATGCTGCTTTGAAGTTGCCAGATGGTAGTGTGACTTCGGCTGTTTGCAGCCTAGGGACGAGCCATATTTCTATGGCATTCCTTTCGTTCGCCAGTTTGGAGGAATCGCCTGGTCTGACGGGAAAGTTGTTGCTCTCCCGGGATCCAGCGAAAGCCCCCCCTTGCTGGTCGCCTCTTTGGGGTGACTTTTGGCCCTTTTCAGGGCCCCCCAGCAATGCAAAACTGAACGGGGGAGAGAGAGCAAGTCTCCCAACCGTCCATGGCAGCTGTGTGACGAACCGGAAGTCCAGAAATATAACATTGTTAAGAAGATGTCTTCCGGATATACATATTTAAAGATGTTGCCACTTTCATATGTCTGCACAGTTTCATTATTTTTTGGGAGTTAGGGTGGGCAGTAAGAAGCTTTGGATACAGCGAAACAATATTTGTGGTGCTGATGGCATTTTTGGCAACGTTGTTTAGCTCAAGAACAGATATTCCCTGTTAAAAAAAATATAGGTAATCCCGGACCGTAATTGAGCCCAAAATTTCTGTTGCTAAGTGAGACAGTTGCTAAGAGAGTTTTGCCCCATTTGGCCGTTTCTTGCCACAGTTGTTAAGAGAATTGCTGCAGTTGTTAAGTTAGTAACACAGTTGTTACATGAATCTGGCTTCCCCATTGGCTTGGCTTGTCAGAAGGTTGCAAAAGGCTTTCACATGATCCCGGGACACTTCAACCATCATAAATTTAAACCAGCTGCTAAATGCCTGAATTTTAATCACATGCTCATGGGGATGCTGCAAGGCTTGTAGTTGCGAAAAACGGTCATAAGTCACTTTATTCAGTGCTGTTGTAACTTTGAACGGTCACTAAACAAATAGTTGTAAGTCAAGGGCTATCTGTAATTCATTCTGTTGACAATGAAAAAAAGTGGTTCGTTCGTTTTACAAAAGGAGCTGATTATTGTATGCATATTTTTTTTTAAAAAAATTCTGTATTGCCTCTCTCAGGTTGGCACTGAGGATACCCTGACACCCATCACTTTAAGGCTGAATTATAACCTCACAGGAAAATCCATCGCCAAAGTCCCAGATCTCCTGCCCATCCTGAGCAAACAGTCAAAGCAAAACTACACAGCCGAGGTGACTATCCTTGAGGTTTATCATGATACCCCAAAAGCCAGCAACAGTCGGAGTCGGTGTGTTGCAGTGGCGAAGGTGTTGGACCAGGAGTGAGGCGGAAACCCAGATTGTAATCCTCCTCAGCCATAGAAGCTAACTAAGCGTCTGGGGCCCAGTCCCTTTCTCTCACCCTGAAAGCTGGAACAGGGTTGTGGCTACAGTGTTGGCCTAGGCCAGGGGTAGGCAACCTTGGCTCTTTTATGACTCGTGGACTTCAACTCCCAGAATTCTTGAGCCAGCATGGCTCCGCTTGGAAACCTCTCCCTTTCCCCTCAGCGTGGCTGGCTCAGGAATTCTGGGAGTTGAAGTCCACGAGTCATAAAAGTGCCAAGGTTGCCTACCCCTGGCCTAGGAGCTTGGATATCCAGGTTTTCTTCTGCCCTCAGTCATAGAAGCTTCTTAGAGCATTTTGGGCCAATCCCTCTCAGTCTAAGAGCCATGTTGTATAGTGGTGAGAAGGTGGTAGAGTAGGAGTGGGGAGACCCACGTTCTTGTCCCTCCCCCACCTCCGGCCACGGAAGGTCCCTAGGATCTTTGGGCCAGTCTCTCTCTCTCTCTTTTAGTCCAAAAAACAGGGTGTATGTTGCTGAAGATCACCCTAAAGGTGCTTTTTCAAAAGGCAACTGGACTTTATTTTTGCTTGAAGACGTTTCGCTTCTCATCCAAGAAGCTTTAGAATAGAATAGAATAGAATAGAATAGAATAGAATAGAATAGAATAGAATAGAATAGAATAGAATAGAATAGAATAGTTGTAGGTCATCTAGTCCAACCCCACCCACCCAAGCAGGAGACCCTACACCATTTCTGACAGATGGTTGTCCAGTCTCTTCTGTGATAAAACTCCCACAACATCTGAAGGCAAACTGTTCCATTGGTTGTTTGTTCTCACTGTCAGAGAATTACTCCTTATTTCTAGGTTGAATCTCTCCTTGATCAATTTCCATCCATTATTCCTTATCTGGCCTTCAGATGCTTTGGAAAATAGGCTGACCACATCCTCTCTGTGACAGCCTGTCAAATATTGGAACACTGCTATCACGTCTCCCCTGGTCCTTCTCTTCACTAGACTAGAATGGTGGAGAATGGAAGTATTTGGAATGGAAAGAATGGAAACCTCTTGGATGAGAAGTGAAACGTCTTAAGGCAAAAACAAAGAAAGTCTAGTTGCCTTTGAAAAACATCTTTGGGACAACCATGACCCGGATGACTGAGAATCTCCATAGACATTTAGCGGTGAAGGTGTGGACTAGATACAGACATGTCAAAGTCGCGACGTCACTTGATGTCGCGCAACGTATCGGAGCTTTTTTGCCATTGCCGGCAATGGGGTGGGCATGGTTTCCTGATGACGCGTCCGGCCCACGGGCCAGCAGTTTGATAACCCTGGGAAGCAAAGAGACCCAAGATCTGGTCCACCCTCAGCCGTGGAAGCTCACTAGGTGTCTTTAGGCCAACCTACCTCATAGGGTTGGTGTTGTGAGGACAGATAAGGGGAGGGAGCATTAGGTATGCCACCTTACACTCCTGTATGAGGAGAAGGCAGATCATTACCGTATATGCCGGCGTATTAGGTGACCCGGCGTATAAGACGACCCCCGTCTTTATAGCCGGGCCGCATTCCTAGAACGTCGTCTTATACGCCGGAAACTACCAGTATTTCCAGCTTATAAGACAACTCGGCGTATAAGACGACCCCCGTCTTTGGCGCCGATTTCAGCGCTTGCAGAAGTCGTCTTATACACCGGCATTTACGGTAATCAAGTAAACGCGTTAGCCACCTTTGTAATCAAGTAGGGCCCCTCCTCTATACTCAATGGAATAGGTGGAGGGAGAGGAACAAAGAGAGTTAGGCTTGTTAGTTAGTTACAGAAGATCACACATCCGTAACAAGTGGGACTACAGCAGGGCAGTGGGAGCAGCAGGATGTCCATTTCTGTCACTTTCAGAAATTTCTGTCTGGCAGGAAAGAAGGGGAAGCTGGTCAAATGCAGATGAGCTCTGGGTTCCCCTTATTAAATGCCATTAACTCTGATAGTGATTTTGACCTGCCTTTCAGGTACTGTACAATTACTGTACTGTAAATGGTTATCATAGGTAAGGAAACCAATGCCGTAGAAGAAGAAAATGTTGGTGCAAGGTTTAAGGAAAAGAGTCAAATCATCAAAACTGAGGTGTACTTTGTCTTTAAGTTTCTTTCTTTCTTTCTTTCTTTCTTTCTTTCTTTCTTTTTTTCTTTCTTTCAGCTCCCCTTTGAGAAGAACTGTGGGGATGATGGGCTATGTGAAGACATTTTGCAAACCTCGTTTACTTTCTCAGGGTAAGAGAAATAGTTTCTCTCACCCCTTCTGCCTTACGTTTCTATTATCTATTCTTTGCCATACTTCAACTGACCAAATTTTGAATGTTCTACCAAATTACCCTTTCTAACAACTTTGGGAAGGATTCTGTGACAAAAACATTTTTCAGTCCTTTATGCAAAATTGTTATAAATTCATCCAGCCACTGGACAGATACCCTGCCTTACCACTCCATAGAGATTTTAAAATTTAAACTTGAATCCATTGTTCTTTCATTCTGATTGGTTATATCAATAGTACTGCTTTGTACAATGTTATCACCAATCTGTACATATACTGTGCTTATTAGATCAAACAGTACTGCTTGGAGCCCTATTAAGTTAAAAACATAACAAAGTGCCTTGAAACTAATTGTTTGAATGGAATAAGCTCTTATTGATTTGGAATTCCTTGACTGATAAACACTCTTGATAAGATTTCAGTTAATCTTCAATTAAAGAGAAAGGGTTGGATCAAGTTCTATGTTACATGCACTAAGGCCTATTGAAAGCAATGTGAGAAGTTGCTCATGACAAATTTAAGGGCCACTGATTTTAGGTGGACCTTAACAAATTCAGCAGTGACAAATGGCAAGGGGTGTCTTTTTTTCTTTGATATTGTTATATGCAAATACAAATAGTCCTTGACTTATGGCCACAATTGAGCCCCAAATTTTTGTTGCTAAGCGAGTCATTTGTTAAGTGAATTTTGTCCCATTTTATGACTTTTCTTGCTACACTTGTATCACTGCAGTTGTTAAGTTAGTAGCATGGCTGTTAAGTGGCTTCCCCATTGACTTTGGCAGAAGGTTGCAAAAGGGGATCGTGTGACCCTGGGACACTACAACCGTCACAAATATGAGTCAGTCAAGCATCTGAATTTTGATCACCTGACTATGGCAGTACTGCAAAGGCCATAAGTGTAAAAAATGGCCATAAGTCACTTTTTTCAGTGCTGTTGTAAGTGAAAAAGTGGTAACTGTTGTAAGTCGAGGACTACCTCTATAATTGTAAATACTGAGAGCATTGATTTTCTTTTACTGATTCATCAGTCATGGCCTGTGTATGATCTTCTTGATCTGAGATCTCTAACCAGGACCCAGAGTTTCTTTTCTTCACTCCCACTCAGCCTGCAAACTTTAGATGTGGGTTTGACTCCCGAGTTCACCATAACAGCCTCCCTTCAGAACCACGGGGAGGACTCCTATCGCAGCACTTTACGCTTCTTCTACCCTGCAGGGCTCTCTTATCGCAAAGTCACCTTGCTACAACAGGTAAGAGAATAAAGGATGCCAGCAGAGGTGCAGAATAGGGGCGGAGCCTACTTGGGTTGCTACCGTGTTTTCCCAAAAGTAAGGCCTACCCCGAGAATAAGCCCTAACTTGATTTTTGGGGGTGGGCCTAATATAAGCCCTACCTCAAAAATAAGCCCTAGTTTTGCGGTGAGGCACACACCTAAAAATCAAGCTAGGGTGGGGGGTGTGGAGTTGCCCCACGCAACCCACACCTAGTTATCTAGCAGCCAGGCCTCTCCTCATTGGCCCACTTCTGCGGTGTCCCCAGGACTGCATTTTGCAGTCAGGCCTTTCCGGAAGACCACTGCAGCCGATAATCGAGCAATGGATTCAATCCATACCTCGGTTCCACAAGGCCTCTGCAGGCGAAAACTGAGCTATGGATAGAATCCATTGCTTGGTTATTGGTTGCAGAGGCCTTCTGGAAAGGCCTGAGTGCAAAATGCAGGCTAGAGCTCCATTCACAGCTGCAGAATGAAGCTGCTCCTTTGGCTGGAGAAGACGTGGGCCAGCTGGGCGGGGCTGTCGGTGCCGGAGAAATTTTCCGGGAAACACGGTATATATAATGGTATGTGGAAAAGACCTAGGGAGACTAGGCTAGACGTGCTATCTACAGTAGGGAACAGTCAGATAAGAGACAGCATAGCCCAGAGCTGCATATTGTGTGGACCAAGAGGCTCAGAAGGCACTCTCCCTAAATTCTTGAGCTGTTAAAGTGACAATCGGTAAGGTGACCAACCGTCCTCCTTTAGGGAGGACAGTCCTCCTTTTGTAAGTTCTGTCCTCCCTCAAAAAGTGTCCTCCTTCATGTCCTCCTTTTCGATATTTGAAGTCTAATCTGCAGGGCTTTTTTTTTCCTCATAGAATGCTCAGAATGGCATTCCAGCACCTTTTTTTGATGGTTTTTTTTCAACTTTTGCATGAGCTGTGCTACTCCCCCTCTTGGCTTTCGAAAGCCAATAGGAATTGCTGCTGAGCGCGCCAAAACACCCGGCTGGCAAACTTTGCACATGCAAGTTGTCTGTATTTATTGTTGCAATGAATAAAATGTTTCTTTTATTTACGATATTTTTTTCTTCAATTTATTTGTGTCCTCCTTTTCATTGTAAAAAAGTTGGTCATCTTACAATGGGTGAATTGTACTTCCAGACCTGATAGATTCTGTTAATGTAGCTTTACGTTGTCTTTCTTTATTCGTGTCAGAAGCACCTATAAACTACAGACATATAACTTTCAACATTGAGTAAGTAAAACAAACATAAGATAGGTCATAAAAATATAGCACATTTAAAAGTATATAAAATAAATAGTATTAAAACTAAATGACATTTACCCAGTAATGGGCCATGTCAATAGCATTTTCTCTCACCAACGTATGGTCTTCCTCCATACACATTGAAGGATGTTTTATGCACAGTAACAAATGTGTTAGATTGTTCTTCACATTCACACAGAGTGTCTTCTATATAGGAAAGCCCCATTTTCCTAGATCAGACATGTCAAACTCGCAATGTCACGTGATGTCATGCGACGTATCAGAGCTTTTTCCCCATTGCCAGCAATGGGGTGGGCGCGGTTTCCTTGTGACACGTCCAGCTCGCGGGCCGGCAGTTTGACACCCCTGTCCTAGATTATCCTTTGATTTTCCTACCCCAGTGCATTATATAGAATAGAATAGAATAGAATAGAATAGAATAGAATAGAATAGAATAGAATAGAATAGAAACTTTATTGTCACTTTAAATGTACACTAATCAGCATACATTAAAATGAAATTGCGTTGCATTCAGCTCTCAAACAAATTCCATTATGCATTATGCATTAGAATTAGTTCATCTGATTGTGTTTCCTATTTGGGCTATCTAGTAAGACTGACATTATGTTCCTCTTCTCAAAACTTTGTATGCACTCCTGTCTTAGGTCAGCAGAAAGGTGACACGGGTCCAATGCCATTCAGCCCCTGCCTTGGAAGAAGAGGCCAGCCGGAACGCCACCTGTAACATCAACCACCCTATTTTCTGGAGTGGAGCAGAGGTGAGATCTGCTTGCTTTATGTATTCCACAACAGTTGAGGATGACTGTAGCTGTACACCACTTACTCTCCCCATCTTTGCATGTTTCAGGCTATTTTTGTTGCCACCTTTGATGTCTTCCCAGATGCTGATCTAGGGAATACACTGCAGATCATGGTCAAAGCTGAGAGGTAACATCCATGCTCCTGGGTTTTGTGGGCTAATAGAAGCCAACAGTATTCAGCTGCTTTTAAGAGTGGAGGCTGGTGGCCAACAATAAGGTTCTGTGTGTCTGTGTGTGTGTAACTGAGATAACTATCAATAAAGGAGAATATTTGTAGCTTGGAGTTGAAATGAGAGGTCCTTGGTGCTCTCAGAGCTTGGTTGTTTTCTTGCAGACGTTTCATTACGCAAACTAGGTAACATTATCAGTGCTAGCAGGGATGATGTAAACTAGTTTGTGTAATGAAGCATCTGCAAGAAAACAACCAAGCTCAGAGAGCATCAAGAAACCCCTGATGTTACTATTTCAAGGTTTGAGTTATTTGGGTGCCAGCCGTGTGGTGTGAGAGACTCTACTGCACAGCTTTCAAGCTGTCTTATTGGGGTACCCTGAAATTTCTGTGAAGACTTAATAGGGATTTCTCAATAGGAAAATTAAAAGCACTGTCCTTGAGGACAGCGTAGCCATTGCAGTTGAGTATACTTCAGTATGCACAAAAGTAATGAAACCTAAAAAGCTTGCTCAGTGTTATACCGTATGTGAAAGGACATGTTTTTGTGTCCTCAGTAGAGATCTGGTACTTGCAGAAGGCAAATTCAGGTCGACCGTGATCCTCAAAGACCAAATGTTTGAAAATGCATGAATGTAAATCATATTTTTTTTTTAGTAAAACTCTACTGGCCGCCTTTATCCTTTTGAGGGCAGCAGAAAAGAATATTTAGCCGAAATAAAGTGATTTACAAAGAGGTCAAAAACATTGTACACTTCTCTATAGTAGGGCGTTGTTGTCATCCTGGGATTTAATTTCTAACCTGCCTGTAACTAATTCTGTGGGTCCTCCAGCACAGTTTTTCTCCCAGGCTTATGAAACATTAGAAATTTTAAAATGTCAAGAATGCTGTTCCTTGGGAAAAATGAAGGAAGATTCATATTAAGACAGAACTTGACTGAGAAGCAAAAAAAAACCTAGCTAAAGATTCGTGCTATATATTCTGTCAAAGCATTTTTGCATAATGGGGATTGAGATGTAAAACGCATCACATGATAGAGTAATATACGTACGTTGTTTTAGAATTTCCTGATTAAATGAAAACATATTTTCTTCCACTTGTCCAGTGAAAATGGGAACACCAGCACCAAGGACATCAGTTATGAAGCCACTTTGCCTGTCAGATATGCTGTATACCTACTTATCAACATGTAAGTGACTATGGATATTTTAAAAAGGAGATAGAATGTGGACTCTGCAAACCTCATCCTTCTCTCAAGGATGCCATCTCTGGAATCTTCCATTTCTACCAAAAATTCTTTTCTCTTCTCAGGGGCGAAGAGTCCACCAAGTATGTGAACTTCACCGTTGGCCAAGAAGATGCACAAAAGAGTGTTGAACACCGATATGAGGTGAAGGGCAAAAGGAAGAAGAAACTGTAGTCTGCGGGTTGGTGGGAAGAGGAGAAAGATGGGGCTAGGGAATTCTGGGAATTGAAGTCCACACATCTTAGTCACCACCCATCTTTAAAGGGTATTCCTTTAAATAGGGTTGAATAATAATAATAATAATAATAATAATAATAATAGTAGTAGTAGTAGTAGTAGTAGTAATAGTAATAGTGAGGAGGTTGATGTTGGAGGGGACCTTGGAGTTCATCTAGTCCAACCCCCTGCTCAGGCAGGAAACCTTATACCATTTCAGACAAATGGCTGTCCAGTCTCTTCTTAAAAATGTCCAGTGTTGGAGCATTCACAGTTTCTGGAGGCAGGTTATTCCACTGGTTAATTGTTCTAACTGTCAGGAAGTTTCTCCTTAGTTCTAGGTTGCTTCTCTCTTTGATTAGTTGCTTCTTGTCCTGCCTTCAGGTGCTTTGGAGAATAGCTTGACTCCCTCTTCTTTGTGGTAGCCCCTCAAATATGGGAAGGGTGTTCCACTGGTTAATTGTTTTAACTGTCAGGAAGTTTCTCCTTAGTTCTAGGTTGCTTCTCTCCTTGATTAGTTTCCATCCGTTGCTCCTTGTCCTGCCTTCAGGCGCTTTGGAAAATAGCTTGATTCCCTCTTCTTTGTGGCAGCCCCTGAGATATTGGACCACTGCTATCATGTCCCCCCTCACCCTTCTGTTCGTTAAACTAGATATACCCAGATATCTGAATGTTGATCATGTGACTTGGGGATGCTGTGACAGTAAGCCATCTTTTTCCAGTGCCATTGTAACTTTAAATGATCATTAAATGAATCGCTGTAAGTTGAAAACTACATTTAAAGCACATGTATTTTAAAATATCGTTGATCTTTTTCTACTCCTTCTGTATGGGCTACATTTGCACTTGGGGAACCATAGAATGACAATGAGGTATATTACAAGGCTAAAGTAATGCCACTACACTGGTATTCCATGGAGCTTGCGTAGACCTACCAACAGAGTAATCTACACCCGGACAACAGCATCAGTCATTATGCCTTCACGTCTAACATGAAGTAATTAGTTGAACTTAATGGTGAACAACTAATTTTCATCGAAATAGTGAGCATTGATCATACCTAGGTCACATCACTAGTCTTTTTCAGATGGATAGCAAGATGAAATAAATTAAATAAAACTATAAACCATCCTTGAAAATATTATCCTTGCACATAATGGTGAAGGAGTTCTTTGCTAATTATCAACCTAATTATCAATTAGGTTGGTAATCTAATTGAAAGAGACTTTTGAAGCCAAGAGGTCATGGTCCGAAGTGTTCTAGTGGTTCCTGCCCTGAGCAAGGGGTTAGACTCAATGACCTCTAAAGCCCCTTCCAAGTCAAGAATTCTGTGACATGCTTCCCTTCCTTTCTCTGCTTGCATCCTCAAGGACACGGTGTACTTTGTGACCTCTGATGTTACCACTTCTTTTTGCTTTCTTATACAACATCACTGGAAGAGTGGAAGGACCTCTTTCTGGTGGAAAAATAGCAGAAATGCTTGATCAGAATTTGTTTTCTTTTTTCAGGTGAAGAATCTTCATGAACGAAGCATCCCTTTCACGGTGACATTTCAGATCCCAGTAAAACTGAAAGGGATTCTGGTTTGGAATGTGTCTCAAGTTATTCCTTCTGAGGTATGCTTATCTATGTTGGATGATCTTGTTGTGGCCCTCTGGTCAATCCATTGAAGAACACACCCACAAACACACCGGCTGAGAAAATGAGTGCTGGAGATATTCACCTAGAGTGGATCAGTTGCTGGCCTTTGGTGAAGCATTTCACCTTGTAATGTGATCTGACCCACCTCACCAGACTGTCCAGGCCAAGGGTAGGCAACCTTGGTGCTTTTATGACTCGTGGACTTCAACTCCCAGAATTCCTGAACCAGCCATGCTGAGGGGAAGAGAGAGGTTTCCAAGCTGAGCCATGCTGGCTCAGGAATTCTGGGAGTTGAAGTCCACGAGTCATAAAAGAGCCAAGGTTGCCTACCCCTGGTCCAGGCTGACTCATTCACATGCTTTGATTTGATAACAAACCTCTGTTATGTGGGTGTGCAGTGCGTTTGTAAAAGCCCCTGTTCTAGATCAGTCGCACCAATGAGAATTGGGTTCCTGCCTTGTTTTAAAGGAGTGCTTTGGTTGAACCCCCCACTAAAGATCTGAGGATCTATAAAACCTGATGGAAGATTCTTCTTCCAGCTTCTGGAACTCATTTGGAACTAGGAATTGGAGAAGCAAAGTTCTTATTGAGAAGAAGCAAGATATGTCGCCATTTGTCTTCTGCTCCATCCATCACCTTCTGCTACTAATAACCGGACCTCTCTTTTTCTGCAGCCTGAAGTTGCCATGTGTGTCTTGGAGAGAGAAACTTCAGATTCCAAGGATCTTCCGGCAAATGAGGCACAACTCCAGCTGGTAAGCCTGCTGGTCTTTTTCTTTAGGGCCAACTGCATTCTGTAGTTCTTTCTGAGAGATGTCATACCGTATATATTGATTTATGAGAATCCTCAGGAAGGACAAAGGATTCTTGAAAAAAATAGTCATGCTCCATGGATATTCTGTAGTTGATCTACATTATACAAATTAAGGGAACTTATAGATGGCCTCTGGATATGGATACTCACTTCTGACTTCTGATTTTTGTTTCCCAAGGGTAAATGTTTCTACTTGTCTCTGTTAAATTCTGTTGCTTAGTCCTTTCCTCTAATCTATCAAGATAGGTTTGGATTTTATTTTGGACTACTAGGCTTCTAGATGTCCCAATCAATTCTGTGATATCTGCAGATTTCATAACTATTCCATCAGCCATATAATTTAATAACAATGGAAGAGCTGAAGAATACAGAACGCAAGAGTGAACTTTGTGCCCCTCCCTTGACATCTCTCGTGAGTTTGAGGAGGAATTGTTGATGGATACATGCGTTGAGCCACTCATGTATCTACTTAATTATCATGTCACCCATACTTATCTAGCTTGCCAATCAACATTTTATAAGGGCCTTCAAAATATATTGTGTCTAGGCCAGGGGTAGGCAACCTTGGCTCTTTTATGACTCGTGGACTTCAACTCCCAGAATTCCTGAGCCAGCCATGCTGAGGGGAAAGGGAGAGGTTTCCAAGCGGAGCCATGCTGGTTCAGGAATTTTGGGAGTTGAAGTCCATGAGTCATACAAGAGCCAAGGTTGCCTACCCCTGGTCTAGGCACATAGTATATCTAATACCAGTGGTTCTCAACCTGTGGGTCGGGACCGCATTTGGGGTCGAACGACCATTTCACGGGGGTCGCCAAACAACGCAGTCCGCCATTTTTTCCCCCTTTTCCTTAGCTGTGCTACTCCCTTTTATTCTATTGGCGTTTGAAAGCCAATAGAATAGACTCTCTTGAATAGAGTCTAATTCTATTGGCTTTCAAAAGCCAATAGGAATTGTCCAGGCTGTCTCTGCCCTGTTGAGCCCGCCAAAAGTCCCATTCTGCAAACGGTGCTGCACCAGTTGAGTAGTCCTCGACTTACGACCGGTTGGGGGTCGCGGCATTAAAAAGGTTGAGAACCACTGATCTATACTCTATTAAGGAAGTTACCCTATCATTTGGAAAGTTTTTGAAAAATAAATATCTTTTACAGCCCTGAAAGCTAGAAAGCTGGCATAAACAAGGAAACAATAGAGGTTATCAAGATGTTCAATTCCATAGTTAATACTGAAAGTGCAGAATTATGGTTTGTCAAGGGCAGAGGTAGGCAACCTTGGCTCTTTTATGAATCATGGACTTCATAGCTGGCTCAGGAATTCTGGGAGTTGAAGTCCACGAGTCATAAAAGAGCCAAGGTTGCCTACCCCTGGTCAAGGGTCATTTTGCCCTTGTATGATTTCCCCCTTTGGTTTTATCTTGCATATCTTTTTATTCCACTCTCCCTCACCCCTACCCCAGGACTGCTCCGTTGCTTCTTGCAAAATCATCCGTTGCGATGTTTTGTCACTGAAGGTACACAAAAGGCCACTGGAGTTCGGGATCAAAGGAGACCTCAGTTTCACCTGGACATCTCAGGTAGAGAGGCTGGATTTCTTGAACTGTGCGATATTCACAAGTAGTCCTTCTCCACCCCAAAGCTCAAAGGGTCTTTATTAAATACTGGGATCGGTGAGGCATTGATCAGACTGAAGAGTGAAAGCAACAGTTCTTTATTTAATCAACACAGAAGCAGTTCTAACAACCGTTTAGCTTCTATTTATACCGGACTCCCCCTAGGCGGCAGCCAATGAATTTAAAGCACTATTTCCCACTTAAAGTGCAGGCTTGTAACAATACACAAACGGTTAGAGACTTTGAATGATCACATTAAGTGAACAGCTTATAACTGCCCTTATAAATTAGGTCAGTACAACACAGTCTTATTTATGTATTTGTTTATTCTATATCTGTAACCTCCCAACTCAACCAAGTGACTTTGGGCAGTTTACAATTTTATCATTCTTAAATTCTAAAACAATTCAAGCTATTTAAAAAACATTAAAGCAATAAAAGTGTCCATAAAATAAACAAGCACAAATTGGCAGCCTGGATGATTCATCAACTAATTGTTAAGCCAAGTAACGGGGCCCTTAACGCATTCTGAGCCCCAGGCCCAGGTACATAGCCAGGTTTTTATTAAGCTTTATTAAGGGTTGTGCCATTCAAATAACTTGTGCTGAGGTGGATGATTTCTTATTTCAGCTTCCTCCTCCTCCTCCTCCTCCTCCTCCTCCTCCTCCTCCTCCTCCTCCTCCTCCTCCTCCTCCTCCTCAACAAATAGCAAATTACTGGATGTAATTTGAATTTTGTTTAATAGATTGAAATGATTTAAGGTCTGATTTTCTTCTGTTAGTTTAAAGAGATTGATTAACTGAAGGACTAGATATCCATAGGATATTAATATGTTATTTTAAGTAAGGGACATTAGTGGAGGAAGAATTGAATAAGATTTAGGATAAAATTAAGAAACTAGATTATATTTGGAAGGGATACCTGAACTGATAATGTTTGTACTTAAAGTTAATTTGATTATGATAGTGTAAATTTTTAATTTTTAAAGCTTTAAAAACAGGTATAGGTAATACATTTAAGCTAGAATTTTAATAAATTAGGTTACTTAAGGGAAAAAGAGAGGGAACATTAGATGTATTGACCGAATTATGTATATATGTTTTGTTTTGGGATGTTTGACTACCCTAACACCATGGTGTATCTTGAGCATTTTGTTTGAAAAATTAAAAAACCAATAACATTTCTTCCAAAAAAACCCACAAACAAATAGCATGTCATCGTTCAAAAATAACGCATCTCGCTTCCAGATCCAACAGAAGAAAATTATTTTGGTGAGCTCCGCACAGGTTTCTTATGACCAGAAAAAATACACACAGCAAGAGGGCTTTTCACAAACTCAGGTAACGAAGCCGAGGATGATGTGGGGTGTGGTCAGGAAGCTGAGCCTCAGGACTTTCTTTCCCAATCCTTGGAGGCAAGTGATGTCTAAAGGCTAGAACTGGTCCTTGACACCTGGATTCCTGGACGGTCAGACTTGCGCCCAATCTCTAAAGCAGTGTTTCTCAACCTTGACAATTTTAAGGCATGTGGACTTCAACTCCCAGAATTCCACAGCCAGCGTTGCTGGCTGTGGAATTCTGGGAGTTGAAGTCCACATGCCTTAAAATTGTCAAGGTTGAGAAACACTGCTCTAAAGCATTATTTTTCCCGCCATTCCCAGGTGCAGACAATGGTGGAGCTGGTCAAGATCTACAACAGCCTCCCAGTTATCATTGGCAGCTCTTTTGGAGGCCTAATTCTTCTAGCTCTGACAGCTGCAGCTTTGTATAAGGTGAAGTGGAACCTGGGGAGGGAAAGGGTAGAGAATGGAGCTCTTGCTACCCCCCCCCCAATTATGTTCTGATTGCATGTTCAAAAGATTTCTGCCTGCATGTTCAAAAGATTTCTCATCAAGGGAGTTTAGTTGTTCGTCAATCCTTCTTGGAGGTAGGAATTAAGGCCTTGGCCAAATGTCAGTGTGTGGTTTTCATAGCCCCCTGAGTCTTGGCAGCTCTCTTAAGCACTAAGGTGGGGTTTCCCAACTGTAGCAACTTTAACATATGTGGACTTCAACTCCCAGAATTCCAACATGACTGGCTGGAGAATTCTGGGAGTTGAAGTCCGTGTATCTTAAAGTTGGCAAGCTTGGGGAAACCCTGCACTAAGGGCTGGTATTCTTATTTTGTTGGAGGAGAAAGCTCATGTTTGCTTTCTGTCCCTCTTACTTTCATTTCTCTCTCTCTCTTTCTCTCTCTCTAGGTTGGGTTCTTCAAGCGTCAATACAAGCAGATGCTGGAGGAGGCTGGAGCTGATCACGCCATTGACCCACCCTCACAAAATGTAGAGTCATCTCCTCCTAGCAATGACACTGTTTCCTAATAATCTTGCTGACCTCTGTTTCTTAGTTTTGTTTCTCAGCTTCTCGAAAGTCCATCAATAGATCCATTGATTAGGTTCTCAAAATTCCATCAGCAGGTCCACCAGTAGGAGCATCAAGTCCCGGATTTGTACACATTCTTTAAGTTAGCAAATCTGAGGTAACTTGATTCAAAACATGTTGCCCTATGATGCATTGTTTCTACTAGTTGAAGGTGACAAACAGACAAATAAAAAGAAGAGTTTTAGTAGCACCGCTAGTAGGCACAAGTAATAGCAGCACTCAGAGCCAAGGGATATAGTTGGTAATGCCTTAAAGTAGCCACTGGAGTACACAAAATGTCTCCCTCCCATTAAAAACAGCAGAAAGCGGAGCCACGAAGAACCTCTTGTTGAAAACAACCAACAGAAAACCTTTAATAAACTTACTGGTGGCAAAGCAAACACATCTCTTCCACAATTTTAGTCAAGTGCTCTTTTCAAATATCCATGGAATACAGGCAGTCCTCGACTTATGACCGCAATTGAACCCAACATTTCAGTTGCTAAGGGAGACATTTTGTTGAGTTTTGACCCATTTTATGACCTTCCTTGCCATAGTTGTTAAACAAATCACTGCAGTTGTTAAGTTAGTAACATGGTCCTTAACTGAATCTGGCTCCCCCATTGACTTTGCTTGTCAGAAGGTCGCAAAAGGGGATCGCGTGACTCCGGGACACTGCAACCGACATAAATACAAGTCAGTTGCCAAGCATCTGAATTTTGATCATGTGGACCCTGGAGATGCTGCCATGGTCATAAATGTGAAAAAGGTCCGTTTTCAGTTCTGTTGTAACTTTGAATGGTCGCTAAATGAACTGTTGTAAGTCGAGGACTACCTATTCTGTCTGTTAAAACTGTACAAAAAAAGGGAGAAATCTAGGTTGCCTCCATGGGGATGAAACAGAGTCTGCATCGTGAAGGCCCTCAAAATGTTTATTGGCGTGGTTTTGGGTCTGTGGCTAGCAGGATATGCAAATGAACCTGCCTAATTCAGTCCAGTGGATTTTTTTCATGTTACCTCAGAGAAAGTTTAATTAACCAATCAAATTTTCTCCTAATTTAGACTTCCATACTTAACTTGTTCCTGCTTTCAATTGTCATTCTATTTTCTAAGCTTTCTTTTTTTTAACATAACTGTGTTTAGATTTTTTTAAAAAAACTCACAAGGTAAAAAACTGATAGACGCTGATAATTAGGAAAAAGAAATAAGGAAAGAAAGAGAAAACGAGGCCAAAAGTGCAGAAATAATAAAAAAAGAGATATCAACAAATGATTTCCAATTGTCTTTTACAACAACTTTCTTTTATCCTCTTGTTTCTGATTCTAGCAATTAGAAAAAAGGCAGGAAACGAGTATATTAAGAACAGGGATTAAGGTTAATCCGAATCGTGTGTTCTCATAATAAAAATAGCTAAGCAAGGCAGTTATTAAGTGAGTCATGTCCAATTTTACAACCTTTTTGCACAGTTGCACAGTTGTTAAGTGAATCATCTGGCTATTAAGTGAATCTGGCTTTCCACACTGACTTTGCTTGTCGGAAGCTGGCTGGAAAGGTTGCAAATGATGATCACATGACTCCGGAACTATGCAACTGTCATAAGTACATGCCAGTTGCCAAGCACTTAAATTTTGATCATGTGACCGTAGGGATGCTGTGATAGTTTTAAGTCGGAAAGCTTTAAATTGGCACCAGATTAGAAAGCAGGAGGTGGTGAGTTCAAGTCCTGCCTTAGCCATGAAAGCCAGCTGTGTAACTTTAGACCACTCACTTTTTCGCTGCCCAACCCACCTCACAGGGCTGTTGTTGTGGGGAAAATAGGAGAAGGAAGGTGCTTCAGATTTGCTTAGCGCCATGAGTTATTTGTAAAAATAATAAAATTGAGATACAAATTGAATAAATAATGTTCAAGGACCAGTTATAAATCACTTTTTTCAGTGCCATCATAATTTCAAATGGTCGCTAATTGAATGGTTGTAAGTTGAGAACTACCTGCAGGCAAGTTAAAAAGTTTCAAGAAGGAGGAAATGGGGACTCTGTCTCTTTTCCCAGTCTCTGTTTCACCCTATCAACCAGAGCCAAAGAATTAGGATTCTCTAAGAAACAACTTCTCATCACAGTTGTTTTCCAGGGCTCTCCAAACTTGGCAATTTTAAGACTTGTGGATTTCGGCAAAGAAATATTGGAGTAGGATTCATATATTAATGGTGAAAATTCTTAAAGTGAACATAAAGATTTAAACCAAAAACTTTCCTTCTGGGCTTAATGGAAAGAGAACTGGGGAAAAAATTGGAATTCTGATTTTATATATGGCAATGGCAGCAAGATTGCTCTATGCACAAAAGTGGAAGGAGGCCTCGATTCCCACCATGGATGAAGGGTTGCAAAAGCTAATGGAATCAGCAGAGGTGGCCAAATTGACTGTACTGATAAAATAAAAGAACATAAGTACTTTTGTTTCTACTTGGAAACCGTTTCTGGACTTTATGCTTGAGGTGGAAAAAAATGATGTTATGATTTTGGGTTTTACCGATTACACTGATTTGCCAATACAGAAATGGCGAGAGCAGTGGTGGCGAACCTATGGCACGCGTGCCAGAGGCGGCACTCGGAGCCCTCTTTGTGGGCACACATGCTGTTGCCCCAGACTTGCCTCTTCCTGTGACCCCCTCCTCACCAGCAGCCCCCCTGGAAGAGAGTTGCCCCCAAGCGTGGCCCACGCGGAGCAGTGCAGCCAAGGACATGGCAGCTAGGCAGCATAGACAAGACTCTGCCCTCACATCCCATCATGCACAGTTGATGCTGCGGGGCATGGGCAGAGGGCATGGCTGCAATGGTGCTGCTTGGCTGCCTGGGCGATCTGCGGCGGGCCCTGGAGGTGGTGAGTGGCCCTGCAGGCAGACGGGGTGGGGGGGCAGGGGGTGGAGTGGGGGCGGGGCCAGTTTTGGGCACTCGGTCTCTAAAAGGTTCGGCATCACTGGGCTAGAGCATACTACTATAGAAATGTAAAAAGTTGAAATTTGATTTTAATGTCTGATTTTACTGCAACGGAGAAGAGTCAGAAGGCAATGCCTTTTGTTTCTTCCCCTCCCTTTCTTCACATCTTTTTTGTTTTCCCTTTTTCTACTGTTGTCCCCTACTATTTGCTTTTTGTGTTTTCACATTTTATGTTATAAATGATAAACCTAATAATAATAAAAAAAAAGACTTGTGAATTTCAGCGTCCGGAATTCTGGAAGTTGAAGTCCACAATCTTAAAGTTGCCAATTTTGGAGACCTCTGCTTTGTGTTGTGGGGTGAAACCACATTGTTCCCCCAGGGGTCAGCAAAATACAACAATTGCCTCTTAAGTAAGCAAGCTGCACAGATCAGGCAATCCAGAGTTTTACCTTTTTGCAATCAGCTTGCACTGCTGGAGGCAACATGGCAGACAACTATCTAAAAATAATAATAATAATAATAATAATAATAATAATAATAATAATAATAATAATAATAATAATAACAACAACAGACAAGCACCTGCAACATAACACCCCAGACTTAACAATTGTCGATAAGAAAGACAAAAAAGTCTGGATAGTGGACGTGGCAGTGCCTGGAGATAGCAGAATAGACGAGAAAGAACTGGAGAAGATAACAAAATACAAAGACCTACAAATAAAAATAGAAAGACTGTGGCAAAAGCAAGCAAGGGTAGTACCAATAGTAATAGGCTCCTTAGGTGCAATCCCAAAACACTGGAGCACCACTTGAACACCATTGGCATTGACAAATTCGCTATTAGTCAATTGCAAAAGGCGGCCTTATTAGGAACTGCTTCCATCCTGCGACGATACCTTTAATACCATCAAACATCCACATCTGCCTATCCCAGGTCCTGGGTAAGGACTCGATAGGTAGACAAAATGCCAAATCCAGTCTGAACATCTGGCTGACTGTGCGATGATCAATAATAATAATAATAATAATAATAATGATGATGATGTTGGAAGGGACCTTGGAGGTCATCTAGTCCAAACCCCTGCTCAGGCAGGAAACCCTACACCATTTCAGACAAATGCCTGTCCAGTCTCTTCTTAAAAACTTCCAATGTTGGAGCATTCACCGCTTCTGGAGGCAGGTTGTTCCACTGGTTAATTGTTTTAACTGTCAGGAAGTTTCCTTTAGTTCTAGGTTGCTTCTTTCCTTGATTAGTTTCCATCCGTTGCTTCTTGTCCTGCCTTTGGAGAATAGCTTGACTCCCTCTTCTTTGGGGCAGCCCCTGAGATATTGGAACACTGCTATCATGTCCCTCCTCGTCCTTCTCTTCATTAAACTAGACACACCCAATTCCAGCAGCCATTCCTTATATGCTTTAGCCCCCAGCCCCCTAATTGCCCAGACAACCTTTTGAAATGGTAACACATGGAAGATTTCATTAAACACATATCTATTTATGGGGGAGGGAACACTGTATTAAGGGAATATTCTCCTTGTAATAAGAAAAATAGGAAAAGGCCAAAAGAAGCAACTTTTCTTTAAAAAAAAAAAAAGAAGAAGAAAGCCAGTTACTTGAATTCTGGGTGGTGCTAATTCTTCTGGAGATTTGAGCCACCAAGAAAACAGTCTCACCTCTATTTACCCTAAATGACTCACAGAACATAGAATCACAGGATGGGAAAGGACCTTGGAGGTCTTCTAGTCTAACCCGCTGCCCATGGCAGGAGTTCTTATATCATTCATAGCACATTCATTCAGACCCAAAATGATCAACCCAAATGCTGCCTACAAAATCAACCAACTGGAGCAGTGTTTCTCAACTTTGCCAGCTTTAAGATGTGTTGACTTCAGCTCCCGGAACTCCCCAGCCAGTTGGATTGACAGCTTTTCAATTTTCTACCTACACAGGTAGTTCTCGACTTGTGACCACAATTGAGCTCAAAATTTCTATTGCTAAGTGAGACATTTGTTAAGTGAATCTTGCCCCATTTTGCGACCTTTCTTGCCACAGCTGTTAAGCGAATCACTGCAGATGTTAAGTTAGTAACACAGTTGTTAAGTGAATCTGGCTTCCCCATTGACTTGGCTTGTCAAGAAGATCACAAAAGGCAATCACATGACCCTGGGACACTATCACTGTCATGAATGTGAGTCAGTTGCAAAGCATCTGAATTTTGATCACATGCTCATGGGGGTGATGCTGTGGGAAGTCAGCCCCCCAGAGAAGGAAATATTAAAAGGGCAGGAAAATATATTTCCTCAAAGGATCTTAAAGAGGCAGAAAAGCATGTCCAGTTTTTCTTAATAGCCCCCAGGTCTCCCTCCCCCAAGCAGAATACAGCTCTATAGAAATGCAAATGTAAACCATCCAGGAAAGTTGGAAGCCCCCAGCTAGAAGCTTAGGAAGACAAACACACCTAAAATCTACATACCCCACCCAAACTCTAAGACAGGACATAATAGGATTAACACAGAGATTCGAAAGGGCACACTCAGCCTCAGGTCAAAGTTCATGCCACAGGAACAACTCCAAACAAAAGGCTCCAGAGGGTTATAAAAACCCACTCCCTACATGTGCTCCCTCT